GTTATTGCAGTAGTGAGTTAGATGCAAAAGATATTGTGGAGATAGGATCAAAAGGACTTGGCAGCTAATTAAATATGAGGGATGAGGGGCAGGAAGTATCAGCAGCGACTCCAAGGTTGCAGTAATGGGTGATGCCCTGCTGAGGGTTCTCTCAGTACTCAGATAAACTCTTAATCTGAATTGTGATCCAGAATTGTTTATAATGCTTTCCTTTCAGCCACTGGGTTGGTTTCAGATCATCCTTGGGCATTCTTTTTTAGCAAAATTGCCAAGGAGCTAGAGAAAGAGAGAAGATTCTTGCTGCCTTGGTGATGTCACTGATCCAAGCCCATGCTAATCTTAGGACTGGGTAGGGAGGGCTTGAGGACTGGTTACTTTTCTCCTGCAGCTCGGTTCCTGTTATGAATTCTTTAATTCTTCCTGGCAACAAAATCCTTGACCTCTCTCTGCTAGGATAAGAGATTTAGAGTTGCAAACCGCCTGAGAGGATTCGCCGAAGCCTCTAGCCCTCCTTTTATAGTGAGGAAATGCAAGTGCGGAAGGGAAGTGACTTCCTCTTGTTCACACAGGCAGTATCCCAGGACGCATGGAAACAGTGGGTGACTGAATCCTGTGTCTGAAATATCTTGGGATGTTGAAATGATAGACAAAGTTGAATCAAATGAGATTTAACAGGAACAAGTGAAGAACTCCCACGTGGGTTCTAAACATCTGCTTCACAGATAGGAGAAGTAGCACTTAAGTAAAATGAGTCAGCAGTGTTGTTTTGGCATTAGAAAAAGAAATGGTAGTATTATCCTAGGATGTGTTAAGAATGTTACAGTGTTCATAGCAGATTAGACAGTTTTGTCATCCTCTATCCTGATCCAGCCACATTGAGACTACTGTGTTAAGTTCTGAGTTTAGTAGCTTAGGAGATACAGAAACAAACTGTAACGTATCCAGAAGATGAGCAGGATTATGAGAATATAGGAAAGCATGCTGTACAGGATCTTTTGAAGGAAATCAGTGTTTATCCTCAAGAGAAGAAACTTTTGGGCTAAGGGTGTGGGGGCGGGGGAAAGGTTGTGGAGGGGGAGGGGTGCTTGGGAGTTCTCGTCAAGATTTGTGTGGATCAGCATTGTTTTACTCATGTTGGGGTTCCAGGAGAAGAATAACTTTTAGATGGGAAAAGATAAAACAAAAATGGCTGATGAGAATTGAAACCCAGGATAAATAAGGAGATAGAATTCATTGAAGGCAGAGAGGTTACTAAGTTACTTGGCACAGTTGACCTAAATTCCATAGGAACTTAACAAACTAGCAAATAGTACTGCTAAATTACTGTCAGTAATGCTTGAAAGATCTTAGAGAATGGGCTGGTAGTGTAGGGCCGGAGAAGGACCCAAGTTCCAATTAAGGAAAAAAAAAGAGTTTGGGGGAGATTAGGAGGGATTGATGGAGTTTACAAACCCTATGCCAGTGAACTTGCCCTTAGTTCCTGGGGAAACTTACTAGAATAGATTATTAATGATATGATTAGTTTAATAGGTAGAGAAAAAAAGTTCTGAATATGAAGAATCATTATAAAACCATCAAGAACTAGCAAAACTTAGCATTATTAGCCTTAAAAACAAAATAAAACAGAGTATTATAATGGATAAAGGTATATTGGTGGATAGAGGGGTACTTTTTGAGTTTGAAATACCTGGGTTCTTTCTCCTGCTCTGATAACATACTGGTTGTGTGAACTTTGGTAAGTCATTTAACCTTTCATCCGTCAGTCACCCTAAGGTCTAAGACTAATATAAGTTGTAAGCATATTTCCAGTCTTTATTGGGAGAGAGAGTTTTCTCACTGGGGAGCCCCTTATCCTCTTAAAACACTGGTCTGTCTGAATGCCTCCAAACATTCTCCTCCCCCCCCCCAAAAGTCCCAAGACCTAAATGGGCAGATCCAGGGGTATACTGATAACCTTGTATATATACCCAGTAGGTGTAGTTTCCCTTGATTTAGGGTAATTGTTTGATAAATGTCTCATAATGTTCTTGTGGAAAGATGGTGAGATATGAACTAAATAATTGAAGCGTTTGGACCTTTGAATGGTTGCACTTAAAACACTTGTGAGTGGTTCAGTGTAAGCTGAGCAGGTGGTCTGCAGTAGAGAGTGCCCAGGGATCAATGTTTGGTCTGTCCTCTTTCACTTTCTTTTTTCATTGACTTGAATAAAGGCATCGTTGACAAGCTGATCAAAATTGCAGATGATGCAATACTGATAGGGATAGCTAACCTAATAAAGTATTACAGCCAGGATCCAAAAGGATTGTTGAGCTGAATTTAATAAAAAGGCATAGAAGCAGCAAGGTGGCATAGTGGATAGAATATTAGACCTAGGATCGTGAAGACTTGAGTTCAAATCCTGTCTCAAAAGCTAACTAGCTGTTTAACCCTAGACAAGTCACTTAACTCCCTCTATTTTCCCATCTGTAAAATGGGGATATTAATAGCACATACCTATCAGAGTTGTTGTGAAGATCACTTAAGGTAATATTGACAAAGGGCTTTATAAACCTTTAAGTGTACATAGGCACATTATTGATTTTATTATTGATATTGTTGATTTTATAGGTTATCTGGAAGCTGTTTACTGGATGAATTGATAAAGTAGAAGGTCAAGAAATGGGAAGGGGGCAGGCAAATTTCTCATTAGCACATTGCTAGAATGTTCTGTGTGAGATGTGGAGGATCTGATCCCAGACTATTTATAGCAATCTCTTTTCATTGGTATTTCCTCTTATTCTCATTCTTTTCTTTAGCCGATTTCCCAGTAACCTTTGCCATTCTTCCTCACTAATGGATTGACTTGTATGCAGCCTTTTTTCCCATCTTCTCCCCAGATTATGGAGTCAAAGCCACAGGCTCTTCGTAGGCGTTAGCTTTCATTTCCTTATTCCATTCAAATGACAGCAGTTCATACTACATATTGGAAAGCTCTTTCCGTCACTCTAGGGTATAGGTTTACGTTGTAGGCTTTAGAAATAAATTATTATTTAACTTGTATCACTTTTAATTATTTCAGACATTTTGCCTTTACCTACCATGTGCCTCATTCTCTAATCTAGAGAGACACACGACAGTGGTTCATTTCAGACAGGTGGAGAGAGCTTTTCAGAAACCTGATGTTGGAGAAAGCCCTTTCTTGAATGCGAGGGAGTTGCAGAATTAGCCCTATTGTTCTTCTTTCTTTGTTTTCTCAACCCTTAGGGATGTATCCGTGACAAATAAAGTAATTTGGAAACCTGGAATCTTAGTCATGTCAGAAAAGTGAATGCCAATTCAGCTCAACCTTTCAGACTTCTCTGTATCATTCTTTTAATTTTTTTCAATCACTAGAATTCCACCCTCCCTTTCTTTTCTCCCCCTTCCCCTCAATTGAGAATGAAAGAAAAACAAATCTCTTATTACAGACATAGTTAAGTAAAACAAATTTCTCCATTGGCCATATGCAAAAGAAAAATATACATAAAAAATATATATATACACATACATACACATACACACACACACATATATGTTGTCCATGTGTCATTCTACACTCAGAGCCCTTCTGTCCATCAGGAGATAGGTAGCATATTTCATATGCTGATCAGAGTTTGCAGGTCTCTCAGAACTGCTTGTTTTTCTACATTCTTGTCACTGTGTGAACTGTTGTGGTGGTGTTCTCTTTACATCAGTTCATAGAAGTTGACCTGGGTTTTCAACCCAGGTTGAAATCACCCCCTTCTGTTTTTATAGCACAGTAATATCCCATCGTACCCAAATAACCACAACCTGTTCAGCTATTCTCTTTTGCCGGAGATTCCTGCCCAAGTTATTCTCCAGGTCTTAGACCGGGCTGGAAGCTGGAACTGAAACTGCTCTGCTGGGAGGTGGGATGGGCAGGGGGAGTTGAGGCAGGGGCGAGAAGCCACATTTCTCCTTCTCGCATGTGAACTTGCTCCTTGCCCAATACATAAATAGGACCCAAGACTGTTCCTTACCAAGCAGTGTTAACATCTGTGTGCAGATCCCTTCATCCACCCTGAATCTGTAACCCAAAGCTGAATAGTGGGAGATGGCACCTGTTCCCATATCCCACGGGGCCCCAACATGGGTCTGGAACCTTTTGCCCTGGTTTTGAGCTTGGAGTGTTCTCACCAGCCTTGCTCTCGTCCAGACCTTGTCCTTAGTGTTCACAGACCTCTCCGTTTCCCTATGCTGACCTGGGTTGGAAAAATAACTCACTTGACTTTTTCTTGGATGTTGCCATCAAGATTTTGTCTGTGCATTTTTTAAGTATGTTTGGATGAGTTCGGTGAGGCGGGAGGGAAGCTCACTGTACTTCCTGCTACTCTTCAATCTTGGCTCTGCCCTGATCTGTATCATTCTTAAATGGTGGTTTTCTAGCTGTAGCATAAATATTTCTGGCTGAGAATGGATTTATTCTTTTGTGTGTAGGTAACAGTGTGGTGAAATGACTGTTGGGTTAAAAGACTAAGTAATGTTAGGTACTAGAAAGAGGTTTGGATTTTGGAGTCAGTAGAAACAGTTTTGGGTCTCAAATTGGACATTTTTATTAACAGTGTAACTTTAGGCAAGTTGCCCACTCTGAACCACCCTCACTTGCAAAGTAACTGAACTACCGTCTTCATGCAGTTGTGAGTTTCAGTGTAAGGTATTTTATAAGATGTAGTGACTAATAATTTATATTTATGTCACATTTTAAGGTTTGTAAAGCACTTTCCTTACAACAACCTTGCAAATATAAGACTTTTTTGTCTTAGTACTGTCCTTTGAAATTAGAGAGTTGTTATTAGTTTTGGGTTGTGTTGGGTTTTTTTTTTTCATGAATATGATAAAAGGGGAAATAAGTGTATAGTACAGGGCATGAGGGATGCTTAGATTTTTTTTTTCCCTTTCAGATCAGACTAGGCCAGAAACCAAAGTAACTGTAAAATACTGACATTTCTTCTGTCTTTCAGATTGGCAGATCCGACCTGTGAAGTCTGCTCCAAAGCTGGGCACCTATGGAAGAATCATCCCAGGAAAGACTCAGGAGTGATGGTCCTTGTGACTCTCGATCGAGTGAAACCTGGGGAGGTGAAGTCAAGTTAGAGGAGGAGCAGACCCAGCATGTGAAAGTCATCCAGAGGAAAGCCCCGAGTAAATTGAGAAGCCGCGAATATAGTGAATGTGGTCGACTCTTTGGTGTAGGGCCGATTCTTTTTCCACCACAGAGAGTACCCATAGGAAAGAACCTTCCCAAATATGACGCACACAGAAAGAGCTTCAGACTGTATTCAGACCTAAGAAAACACAATAAAATTTCCTCAAAGAAGATATTTTCTAAGTATAATGAAAGTGGAAAATCCTTCAGTTATCATTCAGACCTAATTGAATACCATAGGCTACATACAGGAAAGAAACCTTATGAATGTGGGAAAGCCACATTGTGGAGAACACAACTTATTCAACAACAGAGAATTCATACTGTAGAGAAACCTTATGCATGTATTGAATGCGGGAAGGCCTTCTGCAAGAGGACACAGCTTACTCAACATTTCAGAATCCATACTGGAGAAAAACCTTATGAATGTAGTGAATGTGGGAAGACTTTCCGACAGAGTGCACACCTAACTCGCCATCAGAGAATTCATACTGGAGAGAAACCCTATGCATGTAATCTGTGTGGGAAGGCCTTCAACCACAGTTCATCCCTTGCCTCCCACCAGAGAATTCATACTGGAGAGAAACCTTATGGATGTGATCGATGTGGAAAAGCTTTCAATCACAGTTCTTCTCTTGCTTCTCATCAGAGAATTCATACGGGGGAGAAACCTTACGAGTGTAATGAATGTGGAAAAGCCTTCCGCCAGAGCACGGAACTTACTAGACATCAAAAAATTCATACTGGAGAAAAACATGAATGCACTGAGTGTGGAAAGGCTTTCCACCAGAGTTCACACCTTACTCGACATCTGAGAATTCATACTGGAGAGAAACCTTATAAATGTAATGAATGTGGGAAGACTTTCAATTATAGTTCATCCCTTGCTTCTCATCATAGAACTCATACTGGAGAAAAACCTTATGGGTGCATTGAATGTGGCAAAGCCTTTGGTAAAAGGACACAGCTTATTCAACATTGGAGAATTCATACTGGAGAGAAACCTTATGACTGTAATGAATGTGGAAAGGCATTCCGTCAGAGCTCACAGCTTACTCGACATCAGAAAATTCACACAGGAGAAAAACCTTTTGAATGTGATGAATGTGGGAGGGCCTTCCGCCAGAGATCACAGCTTACTTACCATCAGAGAATTCATACTGGAGAAAAGCCTTATGAATGTAATGAATGTGGTAAGGCCTTCTGTCAAAGCACTGAACTTACTCAACATCATAGAATTCATACTAGTGAGAAACCTTTTGAATGTCATGAATGTGGTATGGCCTTTCGCCTGAGTACTGGACTTACTCGCCATCAGAAAATCCATACTGGAGAGAAACCTTACGAATGCAGTGAATGTGGGAAGGCCTTCTGTCAGAGAGCAGAACTTACTGTACATCATAGAATCCACACAGGAGAGAAACCCTATGTGTGTAATGAATGTGGGATGGCCTTTCGACAGAGCTCACAACTGACTCCACATCTCAGAATTCATACTGGAGAGAAACCTTATAAATGTAATGAATGTGGAAAGGCCTTCAATCGCAATTCATCCCTTGTTTCCCATCACAGAATTCATACTGGAGAGAAACCTTATGAATGTAATAAATGTGGGAAGGCCTTCCGCCGGAGTACAGGACTTACTCGACATCAGAGACTTCATGTTGCAGATAAATCTTATGAATGTAATGATTAAGGGAAAGTTTTCCTCCAAAACATATCTTAACATCAGTTCATTAGTGAAGTCTTATATTTTGATCCCCCCTTTTTTTTTTAAAGTATGTAATATTACATTTTGATGTAAGATACCTCCTGACAACCATCCTCCAGAAAGTTTTTTGCTTTTGTTAACAGAAAGAATGGATGTTCTATTTACTTTGGATAGTATGGTAGTAACATTGACCATTGTATTTGACTAGCATTTTGTTGCTTCATAATTCTGAATTTATTAACGCTGTTGTAGTCATTGTGTATTTTGTGTTTTGGCTCTGCTTTCATTACTTTGCAGTGCTTCATATAAGCTCTTCTCTGTGGTTTTCTGAATTTTTTATTCTTCCTTACAGCACAGTAATATGTAATTACATTCATATACCACAATTTGTTCAGTTATTCCTTTGATTGTTGAACACATACTTTGTTTCCAGATTTTTGTCGTACATCATGATGTTATGAATATTTTTGGAGCATCTGGGTCTTTTTGTTGTTGCTAATGCCCTGTTTGGGATATAGTCCCAGGAATAGAATCTCAGGGTCAGAGGGTACGAGTAATTTAGTAACTTTTCTTTCACAATTTCGATTTTCTCTTCTTGTTTGATTGAACCATTTTATAGCTTGATTAGAAGTGAAGTTATCTGTCTACCTTCTCAAATCCTTTCTAACTATATGTTTCCCATCTTTTGGGATTGAGGTTATTCCTCGGGGTTGTTTCAATTTGAATTTTCCTGATGATTAGTGATGTATGTTGAACATTTTTCAGGTGAATTTTGTTAAACTGTATCTTCTTTTGAAAACTGTTCCTATCCTTTGATCATTCATCTATTTCAGAGTAACTCTTGATCTCAGATTTGTATTCCTTTTTGGTTTTGGATGCAATACTTTTATCAGAGACGTTTAAAGGGAATATTTTTTCTCCCAACATGTATCTTCTGGTTCTAGATGCATTGAGTTTATTTGTGCAAAGGTGTTTGTGTTTTTTATTTTGTCATTTTATTTGATTGAAAATGTGTTTTATAATCTATCCCATAACTGGTTACAAATGTTTCCCATTATCCTTAGTTATAAAAGAGAATCTTCTGTTCTCTTCTTGATTTTGTTTTGCTTTTTGTTTTGTTATTTTTTTTTTTATGGTGTGACTTTTTATATTGTTAGTTGAGCCATTTGGAATGTAGTGTGGTATATGCTGTAAGTCGGTTATCTAAACCTACTTTTTGCTAGACGTTATAGTTTTTCCAGCAGCTCTTATTAAATAAAGAGTCCCTACTGCTGTAGTTTGTGTTCTTGAGTTTATCATGTACTAGACTGCTTCTTTGTAATTTCTTTTCTAGGCTTTGCTTGGCTGTTCTGGTCTATTGATATGCTTTTAAATTTTTTACCTAGTGCCAGATAATTTTGTTGTTGATAATAATTGTTGTTCATCGAGTTTGAGATCTGGTATCACCAAGTAACCTTCTGACTACCATTTTTCCCCCATTGTTTCCTTTAGTATATGAACTTTACAGAAATTGTTTTTAAAAGGTTTTTCTCTCCACTATGAACTGATGTTGATATGAGGGTTTACTTAGAGAACTCTAAAGAAGCAATAAAAAAGTTGAAACAGCTTCAGCAAAGTAGCAGGATATAAAACAAATGCACAAAAATAATACTTTTCTGTATAATACTAAAAAAAAATCACAGAAGAAAAATTCCATTTAAAGTAACAAAATGCAGTAAATATATGGAAATTAACCTACCAATAAACATATAAGACTTGCATAAATGAAAATTTTACAGAAATAAGTCTTAAATAATTGGAAAAAAAATTCAATGTTAATTACTAGGCTGTGCCTATAGGTAAATTATATTTAGTTGTATATCAACATACGTACCAAAGGGATATTTTATAGATTTAGGCAATATAAAATTAATTTCAAGGCATAAAACATCAAGAACATCTAGAGAAATTTTAACATCTTTAAATTTGTGAGGTTACATAATGTTTAGTAAAATTTAATAACAGTAGCACGAAAATTGAAGTGTGGCCATTGATTTTTCATATTATTATCCATAAGAAACTGACTGCACTGTAGACTGAAGTGTGAATTATTCTGAGTTTTGTGATCTATTTTCTAAAGTCTGGATGCACATTGAATTACGCATGGATCTTTTTGGAACCTGTATTACCTGGTCTCATGGTAATGAACAGTTAGAGGATCCCTTTTGATTTAATAGTTGATTTATTTTGACCCGATAGCTACCTATTCTATATTGTTGCATACATTGTTTTACTCTTGTAATTTTTACCATGGATATTTGATTCGGAATATGTTACCATTGTGTGGCATATTATAGTAATGTGATGGAAAGAGTTCTAATTTGGGGTCAGAGGACCCGAGTTTAAATCCCAGTTCTGGCCACTGACAAACTGTTAACTTGGACAAGTCATTATCTCTTCTGGCCTCAGGTTCCTCTGTAACATGAGGACACTGTACTAAGATGTCCTCCAAGGTCCCTTCCAGTTCCAAGTCTATGATCGAATGAAGGAGAAGTGGGACTGGAAGTTTAGGGAGAGCAGAAAAGAGTTAAGAGCTTTGGAGATTTAATAAAAGTTCAGGAGATTGAAAGAATACATCATCCACCAAGTACTGGATGCTCTGCTCTAGCTATAAACCGATTAGACAGCCAGCTAAAATTGATGTAAAGATATAGTAGTTTGTCTGCATGACTTTAGGTAGTTCAGTATGTCTTCAATGCATGTAGATTGTGGCATAGCTGATGTTTATAGCACTTTGGAAAATGCGCTACATATGTTATCTCATTTGATCCTCACAACCTTGATTGATGCTATTATCTCCATTTTATAGATGTGAAAAGCAAGGCTCAAATAACAGGTTAAGTGATCTAGGATCATATGCTAGTAGTGTCTGAGGCAGAATTTGAACCTAGGTCTTCTTGACTGCAAGTACAACACTATCCACTACATGGCACTACCTCTTAACTCAATTGGGAGAATTGCGTCTTTTTTACCTATGGTAGTTTGATCTTTGGGATTACACATTGGTGCTAGAAAATATTATTGATAGTATGGATCAGCACCTCACCGACAAATGAAAGATATTGGTAGATTGCTTTACAAAAAGGCTTCTAAGAGACATTTGAAAGTCATTGCTAATGGTTCTGAGCACTGTGTCTAAATATTGACTCTGTCCCTGGTGGGTGAATGTGAGCAGAAGGAAAGGTTGGAGAAATTAACTTGTGAAGGTTGCAGCTAGATTTTTCTGAAGATTCCATTGTTCTCCCTCCCAACGTGGCTAATCACGAACTTTACTGTTATGTTCCTTGGACACCATGCAGATCTATCCCATGAACTCCTCGGATCAAAACAAAATTAAAAGAAATTAGGCCCATAAAAAGCAAGCCCAGTCTAATTTCCAGACCAGAATTTAGCAGAATACAACCCATTGTCAATATAAGAATGCCCTTTCTCCCTCCATGGGACATTCTGATTCTTAGAAAGCTATGTAGCTGTTCTCTAATGAACTTTTGTGATAAGTTCTTCTGTAGAGGTGAAAAGATAAAAAGTTTGCAAAGCTAGCCTGATGTTTGAAGAAACCTGCTAAAACAAGAATACTTGGAAGGTAGTTCAACCTTGGGAATCCACAGTGGCAACAATGGGGAGAGATGAGATGGGGAGTGGAATATGGGAGAAGCGTACCTGTAACGACTTCAAAATTCCCATATTTTTTCCTTTTTCTTCCTGCCCTCATAGTACACCATTGATAGACCTTGTGTTTTCAGCCTACCAGTGGAGCCCAATTTCTCAATGCCAGGATTAGCTGTTAAAGGTATAGTTGTAATAGAGGCACTGCCTCTGATAACCTGGGCTGTAATTTGAGATCCTGATCAGGTTTATTTGGGGTAGTCCCCTGCCTTTCTGTTTTTTGTTGCTTGTGGCTTTGGTGCTACAAGCTCACCTCTTCATGCCTCCTCCATGACCTGTTATGTTATACCTGAGGGACAAATGTGCATTATCAAGGAGTAGACTAACAGCAGAAGGGTAAGATGCTGTTGTAATTACCGTCTCTATTGTAGACGTTCTATTCAAACTTCTCTTTTTATGCTTAAATTTGTTTCCCAAGAATCTGCTTATTAGCTCCTAGCTTTCCCACTGGATTGGGAAGGAATGGACTACTTATCTTGAACTCCTCTTCTTTTTTTGCAATTTTCAGTGCAAGGCTAGCTGGAAAGAGTATTAGCTTGACCTGATTAAACTCAGGGTCATAGGTGCAGCTGTATTCCTTCACCCTGTGGGAAATACTTATCTCAATGCTTGCCTAACCCCTCACCTTCTTCTGGGGTGTGGGCTGGATTGGAGGGGCTCCGAGTCATTCCTTGCTTGGTAGTGAGTGGTCTGCTTGGTTTTATCACTGGGGCTCGCGTGCCTCAATAATTGGGGATCTGAAGTCTGGGGTGCTGCATCCCGTTTGGACTGTTGGTCCAAGTCGACCTGTAGTGCCCTGCATTCTGCTGATGGACAACCTGTTCCTGTTCATGCCTTTAATAAACCTTATTTGGTTCCATGACGGTGTCTCTTGTGTTACTGTCTATTAATTTGAGCTGGATCCCCGATCATCTTGTCCCATCAGGCCCGCACAACCTGGAGTCATGTTTGCACTTCTGTTCCATATTGGATGTGGTTTGCTGAGGCAAGTCACTGAGTATACGCAGACTCGCACCAAGTCTCAGTTTGCTGACGTATGAAACAGATAACAATAATGCCTGCCTCACAGGGTTGTTAGGTGTTACTATGTAAAGCTCTTTTATCAGTAGAAAGATACTCCATAAATGGCACCAAGTAGTAGCTATGCAGGAGCAGCTAGGTGGCTCAGTGGATAGAGCACTGGACTTGGAATCAGGAAGACTCATCTTCATAAGTTCAAATCCAGCCTCAGATACCTACTGACCCCAGGCAAGTTACTTAACTTTGCCTCAGTTTCCTCATCTGTAAAATGTGCTGGAGAAGGAAGTGGCAAACCACTCCAATATCTTTACTAAGAAAACCCCAAACGGGGTCATGAGGAGTCAGACATGACTGAAAAATGACGGAACAACAACAAGCCTACCTACCCAGGCCCTCACCTGATTGGCTGCTCCGTTGCCCTAGTCACATAAGAGATTCTTCTTCACTCATTTATCCTCTCCGTCCCTACCACTTTGATATTAGCTACTAATGGGTGACTTGATTGGCACTGGAGGTCCTCCGAACCAACTTTTACAGTTTTCCCCTCTCTACTTGTGTTCTGTGATCTATACAAACTGGCCTAATTATAGTCCCCTAAACTAATGCTATAATTATATTGCTGCTTTGTTTTTATTTATGGTGCTTTTTCTTTCTGGAATAACTTCTCACCATCTTCACCTGTTGATAAGCCCAAACTCAAACATTACCTTCACAAACAAACAAAAACTGTATTTGGAACTTTGGAAACGTGAAGACATTTGCCTGCATGAATGGAACTTTGTTGAGTAGTTTGTGAATAGAGACTAGCCTTTGAGTTTGAGTCTGGATGATCCAGGTTTGTTTGAATTTTTACTTAGGTACTAGCTGTGAATTTTAGTTTCTACATCTATAAAATGGAAGAAAAAAAGTCTTTAAAATATTCTAGGAATCACTTGAGATGTTTGCAGATCTAAAAATGTCATAGATAATCAATGATCAGTTTTGTCTGATCACAGTTTTGAAGATGTTTTCATGTACGGCAATACCAACTACAAAATTCTCCATTTTCCGATGATCGGTTTTCTTTTTTCTCAGTTTCCTATCTTTGTTTACAGAATTTTTTCTGTAAACAAAAGAAAAAAATATGATTGCATTCCTAGACCTATTGATCTGGACTATTAAAGGTAAGAAAGGGATGCATAATTATAATGAAAGTTTATGCAGAGTCCTCGATGGCAACTGACTTAGTGAATTTACAAACA